TGCATAATTAATTTGCATCTCTTTTTGTTGATTGCACGTTTTGTTTATTTGTGGCCAGTCCAATTGAGTTGTTGTGATCTCCGAGTTTATTTTGCCAGCATATATTTTCGACTGGCCATCGATGACGAAATCGCCGCCCGAGGAGCCTTAAGTTCAGATTTCACTCGCCAATATATACCCACTATATTGCGACGTCTGCCCAAGGGAAAAGTGGGCAAAAAGCCTCGAGCCTCGCGAATTTACGGAATGGAATTGTAAGCCGACACCGCCGCACGTTCCTTTTTTCCAAGTGAGTGAGTGGGCAGATTCAGACTTCAGTTGCAGTTTCAGTTTTAAGGGGTATGATTCGGGTAATTGGGTTGCAGGCCCGCCATGGCGGGTTTCCCATATGAAATATGTGGGGTGTGTAGATCGGTACTTAGAATTATCGATAGCACATTGCTTTCATCATCGTCCAATAGTTTGGTGCCGTGAAAAGTAGAGGGTATCTGATAGTCGTCTAGTGCCTCTGACACTTGGCCGGCTTCTTTCCCCGGCCATTTTCGCCTCTGGCTGAATCGCGTGCCTTACAGCGGACCCCAAACCTGCCACTCCCAATATATTTCAATATTGCTCGTATCAAGTTTTATGCGCCATGCTTTTTTCTCAACATTTTTGGTAATTTTATTCTCGATTTTCATTGTTGTTTCCTTGTTCTTTTGACACCGACTATTTATGCATAATTAAAATTAATGAACGTATTAAGGGAGCTTCACATGTTGAGGGGTCAAGAGCAACAAGGCGCGGGGAAGACCAACAATGGGAAATGGTGACCATTGTCTAACCCGCAGGTAATCGAAGAACTTGGCGCGCGTTTTGAATTACCCCGAACAAAAACGAGGAACAGGGCTACAAAAAAGTGAGTCGAAAATTGTGACGCAAATTGAGGCGTCCACAACTGACGAATGGAGTTGAGTTGGCCCAACCCGGTGTATAAATTATGTGCTTAACCCCTATTCTTGTTCAGTTTTAACAGAAAATATAACAATAATTTCATAAATTTGTGCAAGCCTACTTAATATCACTATGGCTTGACCCCCCATCAATCCTTTTCGCTGGCGATCACTGTGCCCGGGAAACCGAGCAACAAGCGACAGAAAAAGCCAAATCCAAAAGGCAGCAGAAAGTGGGGCAATTTGGATGCCACCCGGCTAGTGGCAAAATGAAAATGGGAAGTGAAGGCGAAACGCGGCGGCTGTATGATCAAAAATTACCATGAGTGAGGAGGGGAAGCTTTAGGTGTGCTGCTTGCTGCTGCCTTATTTTTTTATTTTTTTCATTTTTCTTTTCATGCGCCTGGGCGTTCTTGTCGTGCGAAAAAATAGATAATTTTTTATTCGTCTGCCCCACATGCGAGTTGAGAGACTTGCATTTCCTGTTTGCTGCCAAATTAGTTGATATTTTGCCGTTGATGAATTTCATATTAATTTGCGCAATTTGCCAGACTTTTTTTTTGTGTGGGCAGAGAGGCCTAAGTGGCTTAAGAGACCCATTAGTCGAATGGGAGGAGGTGGGGCGGGGCGAGCAGGCTGGGAAAGCGGTGGAAAAGCGGGGAAATCTAATCTTTGACCATTAGGGCGCCCACATGTACTCAACTCCGATGAAAAGCGCTTGGAAAGCGGTCGCAGAAGCTTGAAATATTAAACTGACGGCGATGCACTGACAAAAAACGATAGCTCATATGCAAGCTTCTTGGTATTTAATAAAAAACACATAACATGCGAGGTTAAGATGCTTTTGGGGGAGACTTTCCTCACACTGTACGTGTAAAGGGGAATACTAGAGGAGATCGTTTGGCTGGTAACCTCAGAGGCCAGCATTTTAGACTAGCTGCAGGGCGACATGAAAATAGAGATGGAAAGCCCAAAAACAAAAATATCTTAATGACGGGGCAGGAATTTCCCCAAGGGGCGTGGGACAGCTGACGAATGTTTATGATAAATGGCTCGACAAGCTTGTTAGGTGAAAAACCAGAAGACCAAGAGCCCAAAAGACCTGAAGACCACAATGCAGACAGCAGAATTGCGCAAAAGCCAAGAAACGAAACGCAAATTGAAATTCCAAGATCAGAATCGAGGCAAGGCAAAAAAGAGACAACAAATTATGGCAACGCACCGCCAGGAAACAAAAGCAAAGAGTGAGACGGCGCAAAATTTAATGCAATGAAAATCAAATAAATTGCAGCGAAAAGCCCGGCCCCACCAGCAAAAACGAATCCAAAAGCAACAATGACAAAGATAGCAATCACTAAACATGGTGGGCCATAAAAAAAATAAAAACAAATAAAAAACAACAACGAGGGCAGCCCAAGACAAGTATTTGAAAAATTTATAATAGGCATGCAAATGAGGGACACCGCGGGACTTTTGGGGGCAATCGAAAATGGATAAGACTTGCCATGAGCCAAAAAGCAGGAATGGAAAACCAGGAATGCGACCGCACGGAGCAAGACGGAGAGAGCAAGTGCGAGAGGGAGAGGGAGAACGAGAGGGAGGGATCGCAAATTGAACGATATTCAAAACTGGACTCGAGCCACCCATTCGAGCCATCTGAAGCCCCAGTTCCCCATCCCAGATCCCAATCCCAATTCCCCTGAACATACCCCTCAAATCAGGCAACGCATACACTTTGAAGCATGCTTTGCAAGCATGCTCGGAATACTAGTACCCTGTTAGAGAATAGCTGGTGCAAGTAACCAATCCATAGTTGCTTTCAAACCTAGAATGGGCATGGGAATCACGGTTTTTGGCCCACTTTAGTGTGCCAAGGGGCGAGAAAACTGCAAATAATGGTATGACTTGGTATTTATTAATGCTCGCAGGGTATTCGCCTCTTCGCCACCCAAACGTAGCCCTCTTCCTCTCAGACTGTCGTTTCTTATTTTTATATGAGTCTCTTTTTCTGCATTTTGCATTTGGCAGAATGGCGCGTATTGCTGTGAAATGTGAAATGTGAATGTGCATGTGGACGTAAATTTAAATGGGAATGTGGATGTCGATGTCGATGTCGATGGCTTTCACCCGCGGAATGCGAGCAGCGGGAAAATTGGCTCAAATGTCGTTCGCTGCAGGGCGACTAATAGTGGCCAATAATAATAATAATAATAACAAGAGATGTGGAAAAGGGAGAGGGACAAGGCAGCCCGAGGAAACTGCACAATAATTATGGCTAAAGTAAGAGGCAGAGGCACTGCGGCAGTGGCACATCTGCGAGATACTCGAAACGCCGGTGTCGAGTAAAAAAGCTTCGCTGTCACTTATTCGGTTGCACCGATTGGGTTGCGCCGATTTCTAATTCGCTGACCGACAAAAAGCCGAAAGTGAGTCATCAGCTGCAGCGACAGCAGCGCCATCAGCGACATCGGCAACATCGGCAACATCGGCAACATCAGCAACATGCAACATGCGCCGGCCCCACAACAACATGTTGCTGTCTTGCCGAAGTGCCGCCAATTCTGCAAAAAGCCCTCTGCGAAACATGATATTTGCGTCTGTACGTCGAGAGTATAAAACACAGTGAACCGCCAGTGAAAAGCCCCTGTTTATTGTGGCCACTAATGAATTGGGGGCGGATTCTATTGTTCCGGCATAGAATATCGATTTGAAATTCAGTTGCGACGCGTGCTTGTGCGAATATTCAAATTAAGTGGCCTTTATTGAGTTCTTATTTGAAATATTGAGCGATAAAGTTATTAAATTAAAAGCAGTCATTTCATGGAATTCACTTAAGTCGGCACACATAAAATTCCAAATTTATTTATCACGACTCAAACTCGATTCTATTTGCTGCCATTATCGCCTCATGATGACTGACAAGCGCCATAAAAGTTATGAAATTATTTATGAAGAAATCTGGAGATCACCACCTGAAGACCTGCCGTACTATTCCCCAATTCTACGGATCTGCAAATGACATTCCATGTTTATTTCTCTGTTTTGTGTCTGTTTTCGTCGTTAATTTCTCACTTGGCTTTGGGGAAATTGGAAAATATTTATGAAAAATGACAACTGTCACACACCAATACACCAAAAACACCAATACAAATGCAAGAGACGCTTTTGGGGTGGCGCTCGTTTTATTTTTATTGTTCTCTTTCACGTTTTTCTTTTGTACGTTTGTTAACTTTTTTGTTTTTTATATTTTGTTTTTGGGGCCCTGTTCGACTTGGCGACTTTTCAAAAATTCTAGAAAAATTATGGCCCAACAACTGTGTGTGTGGGTGGGTGGGCGAAGTTCCAGAGAAAAGTGAGAGAATCGCATAAATTTATTAAGAGTATTGGATGGATATCGAAAGACTTCACCTCCTCTCTCGTGCCCCTTTCGTTATTATTTATGTGCTTTTTGGCATAATTTTTAGCCACTCACTCGCTTGGAAATTTGTATTCCCGGGATATTTATGACATTTGTTCGTTTAGGAATTTTCGGTTCTCAGTCGTTGTCTTAGTTTTATGTCTTTTTAAATGGACAGGCAAACACCAAAGGGGAGTTTTCTATTTAGCCCCAGGTACGATGGGTATTCAGCAGCGGGAATTAGTCTTATGGAGTGCGATTACATCGTTCGAGACATTTTTGTATCCTAGGATCTATAAAAGTATTATGTGCTAGTTTAAACTACTAGTATCTGCGAGTTTTATTGACTCAACCAAGCTACTTTCTTGGTCCTACTAACTTTACTTCACTTGCATTTTTTAGTTCATATGATTTCTTTAAAAAGTATATGTATGCAAAAGTTGCTGAGTAACCCCAACATCTTCTAGTGTTCTTCACACGCACGTGTCAGCTCTTTATATACCCATTCACTCTCCCAGTTTTGTGGTTATTTATAGGCTTCGCATTTATTTGCCTGTCGCCAAGCATTTTTGTGCCACTTTAGGCCTCAATTATTTTGAAATTCATTAAAAGTGTCGTCTATTTTCAATATTTATGTGTGTTTTGATTCTACCTTTTCCTCTTATTTGCAGAATGCAGCTCTGAAGCAGCAACTACGCCTGGAAAGAGACAGCGAGACAGCAGTAAAAAGAGACGAAGGGATAAGCAAGTGACAAAGGGTACAAAAGGTAACTTACTGCTAATCTCAATCCTGACCGCGGCGCCCACGCAATTAGAGAGAAGAATACAAAATATGATCGCATCCCCATTTTCTCCAGGTCCTCGAAACTTTAGTTAGTGGGCGTGCAGCTTCGATTCCGCACCCATAAACCCATAACCCGCACTCCAGTACTGAACTTCAGACTGACTCTCGGTTCTGGCTCATAGCCCATACAATTCGTTTTGGGAGCCCACGCACCTTGTGAAAAATATATATGAGACCCATCAGATGAAAAGGGGTTGTGGGGTTGTCCCCCATCCTATACCAACTCATCCCATCCCATTCCATTCCATCCCAACTCATTCCATTCTATACCACACCATTCCTTTTCATTTCAAGCCAGAATTGCAACAGCAACAGGTGGGGCAAGCCCATCCAGCTTCTTCATCGGGATCATTATGACCTCGAAGACCATCATGATGTGGTGATCATCCTCGTTTTAGCCGCAGTAGAAAATCCTGTTGGCTGTCGGTGGAATGCAGATTTCGAACTCGTTTACATGCGAGTTTCTTCACCTTCTACGCCACCGCCCTGGCGCTTACCGTGCCCTGGAAAAAGGCTACGCACTGAGAGAAAATTTACAATATTTACAATTTAACTATTGCAATCATTTCTGGAAATATAATCGGCTCCAATGTGCACAAAAATGCATACAATGCGCTCGAACTCCTTATCGTTAGGTCCCCGTTGGGCGCCACTTCTGCACCCATGAGCCTGACTTAAAGGCCCCACTTTGGGCGCCACAGCGCTCCTGTTGTCTCTCTCTCTCCGTGTGCGTGTGTATTGGTCTTGATGGATACTGGTGTGTGTGTGTGTGGCTTGGCATCTTGTTTTTGGGCTCCGGTTCCGGTCGCGCTTAAAAAAAGATTTCAGCTGCTGCTTCTTCTCCGGCTGGCAAAACAGGTTCCATTGCTAAAGAATTTTCGCCGATATCTTTCCCCTGTGTGTGCTTGTGTGCGTGAGAGAGGGTACAGTGGAGACCGTACACAGTGGACAGTGGAGTTCTGGAGAAAATTACGGTCACATAATGGCCAGGCTGCAAATTGAATTAATGTCATGACATGTGATTTTAATAAGCCTTAATAATAATATGATCGGCTTTTCTTCAGCAAAGTGGAGTTTAAAATTCACCCAAGATAATTCAACGTTAATGATTTGTTAAGCTCACCAACGTGAAGATGACTTTAAAGGGTGACAATGCGAAAACTACTGTTCCAATAAGTAGACCATAATTTTCTCTTGCGGAATTTAATAACCCCCTTGATGGTTTTATGGGTTTGCCTTAATCATCTGCCACTGTGATTGGGGATTTCGTAGTTCGTGATTTTTCTATTGCTCCTTTTCTGCCAGCAACTGTTTCTGATGATCGCAATGATGATGATGAACTGGCTCTCAGGTTTTATTGAACCCGGTGTAGCAGCGACCACAAAACAACGACAACTTGTAGCAGGTGTTAGTGTTTTACAAGCTGTTAACTGCCGCAGCTAATGGCCAAGTGCAGCAGGGGATCAGGGGAATGGGACTCGGGAAAGGGAAAGGGGTATCTCTTATGACAACAGCACTCATATGGATAAATTAAACCACCATCGTTGATGTTCCTTCGTTACGCCTCGCACTTATTTAATGAACTTAAACACGGTCTTAGGCCCGAGATCTGAGATCTGAGAACCGAGACCTGAGACTTAAGACTTGAGACCCTCCCCAGATGTGAAGACCCTCCACTCTTCCGCTTCTCAATTCAATTGTCTCAAACCCCGGGCGCCACGCCCAGGCCATCTCTGAATGGGTTTGGGTTTTCTAACAGTTTTATGCTAATTTCTGACAGGCAAACAAACAGACAGTCACTAAGATAGTACACATTGAAAAATAGGTCCAATGGAATTCATAATCATCCCATATTACAAAACTGGAGGCAAGCAGGCGAACGACTTAATCAGCCTTGCTGATTCAGAAGAGATCAGCTTTAGATTAATACGAGTATGTATATACATACATACAAACACTCGCACTGTCTAAAGTGTTTGTCATTTAATTTAAGTATAGCAAAATACTTTGGGCCATTAGAGAAGGGGAACAACTTGGCCTTTCTAGGAGTGATTATCCCAAACCATAAATCATATTGCCAAGGGAGCGTATACTTCCTTTTGCACAGTGTATCGCTGGTGGCCGCTCTCATGATGAAGATGACGTCGATCAACATATTTATTTGCCATTAATTAATGCCTTTTAATTTGGCATACCGCTTTGATTTATAACCCTTCTTAGTCGCGCCTTATGATGTCCGTGAATAGACCGCCGAATGAGTCAACAAAAGGAGGCTGTCGTTGTCCGCGGCTAATCAAATTAACTTCTGGCCCGAAAACAAACAACCAATTAATTGTGCTGCCAACAGCTGCAACAGCAGCAGCAGCAACAACCATAAACAGCGATCCAAGATCATTGGCCATATTTGGTTGGCTGGTGAATAATGCACGGCAGCAACATCTGCTTGCGGCAACTATCGTCTAGCAACTGTTGCCCGTTGCAAGTAGCAGCCAGCAGCATGTTGCTGCCGTTTCATAATCCCACTACTCATCGCAGTTTGAAGTTCGAACACAGTGTTCTTTGTGACCAGAAACAATCGCTTAATTGTTAGCCACATGTGATTTGACTTGCAATTTTCACAGCAGCAACATGTTGCCCATTAAGAGCCAACTAATAGGTGTTTATTGCTAGTTGCAGCTAGTTGCAGCTCTGTGGCCAACACAAATTGCATGTTGTCAATGGAGGCAATCAATGTTTGATTGCAGTGGGTAATAGTTGGTAATACACGGCAGCGGCATGTTGCCAGACGAACAACAATAGACGTCATGTTAGAAACTAGCAACATAAGTAAAATGCCTAAGCCATTTTAGCCACAAAAGTTGGGCAGTTAACAGTGGCGTCTATTATGCAGACACGCTGGCTGGATAAACAATAAGTAGTTATATAGTGAGTAATACAAATGTGCTCAAATAATCTATTTTTCCACTTTCGCATGGGATGGAAACCATTGGACAACATACGAAATGCATTTTTCTTTCTGTGTGGCCCAATGCAGCGCATCTGTTCCAGACTTCTTCGTTCTGCTGGTGGTTTGTTGACTCTTTTTCAACTTTTTTATGGATTCCTGCAGCGCTCCCCATTCATTTCCTTTGCTTCAGTTTTCAGTCTTGGTGGGGTTTTTTTTCCTTAGCCTGTGTTGCTCTTGGCCCAGGAATGCGCATTAATTTCCAACACACGCAACCAGCGAGCAGCGGCAACAAGTGGATGCGGATTGCTGAAGGGGCAGGCACAGAAACCTGCGTCAATTTCGCGCTTTACTTTTGTTGTCAGATGTTTTAAATCAGCGGGGCGAGCTGGTTTGCGACTCCGTGTTGCTGTTGGATTGCTCGTGTGTAGGCAGTCCGGTTTGCTCCTTGGGTTAACAAGTGGCCACCACCAGCAGCAACATCTGCAACAGGCACAGCAACAGCAACAGCAACATCAGGAGCACAACAGCAACATCGGCAGCTGCACGCGCCTTCGGACCAATAATGACTATCAAATGGGAGCCGCTTTGCGATTTATGTGCATCAGGAGTTTCCCTGCAGGGACTCCGCTACACAGGGAACAAATTCCATGTGGTGTGGACACCAATTTAATAGATTTTCCTACGACATTATGGCTCTTTTTAACTATTCCCCAAGTCAAACAAAAAGGCTCTAAATCGTCAAGTCATTCTGTAAACGCAGATTCGAGTAATGTGGTCAATGCTAATGCTACATTAAAATTGCATTTTTTTTATCTGTACAGGATCGAGGATGCAGGGGGCAGCTGGGGGAGTAGCCGGGGGCAGGACCGAGGTGGATGCCTAACGACAGGGCGGCCGTTTTCCTGGAATTCCGCGCGCGCTTTTGTGTTGTGGCATCGTTTAAATTTCAAATCGAGGGCCCCCAAACTGTCGCAGGCCAGACGCTCGACCAACCCGTTCTGGATCCCCATCCGTCCTCCTCCTTTGCTACCCGTTCAGAGAAACAGGGCAGGGCAGCTCATAATAATGACACGCCATTAACAATCTGGGTCCGGGACGACGAGTCCTTGGGTGCGCGGAGTTGGAGCTCCAGTTTAAATGGCACATTGCCTGGCCCGACTGCTTCCGTTGCCACGCCCCCTTTTGTGGCAGTTGGGGCAGTAGCAGACGCAGCACCAGCAGCAGCAGTAGAGGCAGAGAAAGGAGCAGGTTGAATGGTACAGTAGGGCTCAAGACACACTTCGTCGCATTCCTCGCCTGTCAAATGGTTAGAGATCTCTCAAGAGTTTATATGGGAATGGGATTCAAAATGGGATTGGGATTGGGAATGGAGTAATAGATGTATCTTACTGCGTTGGTTACTCCATCCAAAACGTATTTGTTACGAAACTATCTTTCTAACGCTTCGAAACACTTGTCTGTCTATTCCAGAGTGGGATCTGCTTTGCAATGGCTGGAATCAGGCTAGTTTTGGTTATCCTGACCACCTGCATCTGCACACTGCAAGCCAGCGACACTAATTCGTCCGCGGGAACCACCTTAGGCGTTTTGTTTGAGAGGGCACCCGAATCAGCGGTAGCCCCCAAAGGAGATGAGGTGGTCTTCGAGTGCGAACTGAATCTCAAACCTGATCGCCTGGAGTGGCGATTCAGACACAGTGATTCCTCGGAACCCTATCGATACCTGAGACCCTCGGCTGGCTACAACGTGACCAGCGGTAGCGATGGCCTTGCTTGGAGACTGCGCATCTATGTGAGTGCCCAAACGGCAGGAGACTACCAGTGTGTGGCTTGGTATGGCCCAGGAGCACTGGCTTCTACGCCAGCCCGCTTGGCCTTGGTCTCGATTGCTTTGGACGGCGGCCAGGGATCCTTGGCAGCCATAAGTTCCATCCGCTGGAGTGTGGCGCCCAAAAACTGCCTGCTCATTCGTTGCGGCAGCGTAATATCCAATCCGCCGGCTATTTGGAGCTTCTACAGGAACGGAAAGAAGCTACCACAATCGGAATTGCTTCCCGGCGCTGCGGGGGCTCTGGTTTTGGATACGGTCACCGCCAAAGATGCGGGTAACTACTCATGCGTTGCGACGAATTCCATAACGGGCGATGAGCTTTGGCTCCCCCAAACCATTGAATTAAGAGTGGACTACACGGACAGGACACCGCCGTACTTTCTACAACGTCCACCCACCGAATACTCAGCTCGTCCCGGGGAAACAGTGGTGCTGGAGTGTCCCGGCGTGGGATCCCCACGACCCAGAGTCATTTGGAGCAGTCCCAACGTGGTTGGGATCTACAATAACAGAAGCAACATCCTGCCCTACGGTTTGCAGATCACCGATGTGAGGCCCGAGGATCAGGGTTCCTATATCTGCATGCTGGACAATGGCATTGCACCACCCATCGATCACACCATCAAGTTAAGTGTTCTGCAGCGCCCCACAATCTTAAGAGGACCTGCCGCCACTCTGACGAACGAGAGCAATGCTTTGTTACTGGACTGCTCCGCCTCGGGAAATCCCCAACCCGATATTTACTGGCTCATAAACGGGGAGGATGCCACCAAAGATCCGGAGGCCGTGGTGGATAATCGGAGTCTGCAGCTGAAGCGAGTTCAAAAGCGTCATGCTGGCGTGGTTCAGTGCTTCGCAAAGAACATTTTGGGAGAGGTAAGCTAGTGGTTGTGGAGTAATAGATAGGCAGATCTAATCCACTTTCCTGACCCTCTGCAGACAAGCCAGGGAAACATACTGCGAGTGAATCCCCTGGATATCACTGGCGAGGATGAGGAACCACTCGGAGGAGTTCCCGTGTGGTCAGTCTATGAATCGAACAGTGGAATGGGGTCCTCGTCAACTCCATCTGGTGGCTCCAAAAACAAGGGCGGCAGGCGAAAGTTTAAAGGTGAGTGCAAGTCTGGATAGCATTCCACAAATTTTATAGAAACTACCTAAACAGTAGAAATATGGTTTAAAGTGTAAAATGCATTCGAATCAGTTGAAAATATTCGTAAATCAGTTTTCGATTCGTTTCGGCTTTCATAAGAAAAAAAAAGGCATTGTTTTAGTAACTTTTCACTTGCCTAAGTTTACATCGTGGATTAGCTGGCCACGCCCACTGTATTTTGCGTGTCTGTATAATTGATTGATTGCGATTTACAATTAGTGATGGCTTAGTCGGTAATCCTGGCCAGCGATGGACTAAAGTCGCACCGTTGTCCCCCGCCCTGCGACAACTAGAAAAAAAATCTTAACAAAAAATGTATGTGGAAAGGGGAATTGGGGATTTGGGATAGGAGTGGATGCTAGTTGTAGACCTAAGACTATAGAACTAAAAGCCCCCAGGGTTGAAGCGATCCAAGTAGGCATCGGCGTCCTCCTCATCGTCGTCACCGTCGGCGTCGCTGATGTCCTCCAGACCTCATGAATTGGAGCACTTCCGCAGCTGTTCCTCCTCTTTCTGCAGGATGCGTATCTTCATCTTGAGCTCCTCGACTCGAAGTCGATGCACCTCCCTCATGTATTTAAGTTCATCCTGCGCCTTGTTGAGCTCAATGCGCTTGGCCTCCGTGGACAGCTGCTGCTCTTTGCAGCGCAATTCGGCCTCGCGGATTTTGAAGTAGTTCATTCGCTCTTCGAAGCTCTCCGCAGCGGCAGCAGACAAACTGGTGGCTCCGTTGCCCCCTCCTCCGCCCAGGCTGGTGTTGTTGATACTCACGGAGGAGGCTGTTGATGTGTTGACCGCCCCTGAGTTCCCAGAAGTCGATGGTGCAGTGGCCACGGGCACTGGCACCGCCGTGGGCACCGTCGCGGCAGCCGTAACTGTGGGCAGGGCGCTGAAGGTGAACGTGGGCGTGGCGGCGGTTAGTTGCATCTTAACCGCCGCCGCCGCTGCTGCCTGTTGTTGCTGCTGGACGACAACGGCCGCCTGTTGTTGCTGCTGCTGCTGGTGATGCACTTGGACGGCGGCTGCCAGTTGCTGATGTTGAGCGGCAGCAAGTTGCTGCTGGGCAAGCTGTTGGGCCTGCACCTGGGCCTGGGCCTGTGCCTGAGCTTGCGCCTGAGCCTGCGCTTGAGCCTGTGCCTGAGCTTGCGCCTGAGCCTGCGCTTGAGCCTGCTGTTGCTGCTGAGCCTGGTACTGGGCCAAGGTGATCTGCTGCGGCTTGATCTCGCTAATGATCTGCTGATTGTAGCCGCCGGCGGTGATTGTGGCCATTGGATGCTGCTGCGCCTGTGTGGGTATGGTGTGGATCTGGGTGGCTGAACGGAAAGGAACAATTTAGTTTATGAAGTTGAAAAAAAGGTGTCCAATCTCACCGGTAGCTTCTGATGGGTGTTTAATCTGCAATATAATATCCTCGCGCGGGCGAGCTGTCTTAAAGTGCAGTAGATCATTCAGAGTCAGTTTCTCAGCACTGATCTGGTCCACGTTTATCTGGTGGGTGTTGATCATGGTGGCGTTGGCCGCCGCCGCCGCAGCCACTGCCACCGCGTTCACCTGTTGCATCTTCTGCATCTCGGCGGCGGCGGATTGCACTTGAGCCTGGGCTTGGGCTTGGGCTTGGGCTTGAGCCTCCTGCTGCTGCTGCTGCTGCTGCTCCATTGGGTCCTCGTCGATCTCGCTCACATCGTTGGCATCCATCTCGATCTCGTCGAATGTGTCCGCCTGGGGATTGTGCTCGGAGGCATCGGGACTAATCTGGTACTCGGGTTCCACTTTCACGCTGTCGTGCTGCTGGTGATGCTGTTGCTGCTGCTGTTGGGGCACCGCCGATGCGACGGACACGGATACAGAGCTGATCTTGGCGCTACCAGAGCTGAGATTTGAGGAGCTGCCATCTCTGTACGGATACTGTTTGCGGAGTCTAAAAAAATAACACGAGATAGGGAGTTAATAGCTTGGAAGAGTAGAGCTGGAGATGTGGAATTTGAGTGTCAGCCGATCGATTGGAAGGGAGACCACTCTAGCAACATGTTCCGGCCAAATTGGTGTCCCACATAATCACCGTTCCGCACCTGGAGTTCAGCCAAAATTTCTGGATCTGCTTGATGTTTCGCAGTGCGCTCACTTGCGAGTGCGAGTTGAAGTCCTTGACGATCTTATCCCATGTTTCTCGGACGGAGTACTTGTTGCGCTGCTTCTTGCGATGCTTTATGTCGATGACCTCCTCGTGTAGATGGAACAGGGAGTACAGGACCTCCTTTTCCTCGGCGGTGAAGCGCGGCGTGAGAGGCAGCTGGTTTTTGGCGGACGAGTTGCCTCCGTTGGTGACAACCACTGTGCCACTCCCAGTGGAACTTTGCCCAGCATTGCCGCCGCCATCCGAACCAGCACCACCGCCACCGCTTCCGCCAGCACCGCCCCCTTCTCCCTGCGCCGACATTTGAGTTTGTTTTGAGTTTTTCACTTGAGTTTGAGTTCTTGCTTCTTCTTCGCTGTATACACTTATACACACACAGTAGTCGCAGGCTCACATACACACACAGACGCAGCAGCGCGCGCGCCCGTGTGTTAGTGTGCGTCAGTGTGAGTCTTTTTGATTGCCATCATGGTATTCTTTGCACTTGACATATAGCCGCTAATTCTATATTGCACTTGATTCGGCTCGCGTTTGTTAACTTAAATAAATTATATAGTTTGTCCGATTAACGGGACGCCCGAGAGTCGCCGCTCAATAAATAAATCTCTTACACGCACACATTTTCACTCGAATGTTAGAGCTGGGGTAAGCACTCACGATGCTATCGATTTTCGAGAATCGGTATCGATACCTTAGTTTCAATAGTAATCGCTATCGCGTTTGCTGAAAATACTGTTCAGTATTAATTATCGATTATTTTTGTCTTCCCATCTATATTTCGCTTTAACAAGTTAACTTCCGTATTAGTTAACAATTTACAATTAGTTTCTAAATAAGCTACAATTTATTGTTCGTTCCATCAATATTTTAGTTTTTATGAGCGTTCTGAAAGGAAATTATCCGATTTTTTTCCTTACCATCGATTTCGTATAAAAATGTACATCGATGGTAGTTGATCTGGCAACGCCAGAGATTCAAATGTTAAGAATTGTAAATAGAAACATCAGCAACATAATTAAGTTTATTTAATTACGTTTATTTTAACGTAATAAAAATGCTTCTTATAGCGAGCATGGTGCCTCCATCGCGACCCAATGTCACCCGGCTGTCGGACGAGTCCGTAATGCTGCGCTGGAGTGTGCCACAAAACTCTGGACTCCAGATCACCTTCTTTAAGGTGCAGTATCGCAAGTTGGGCGATGGGAAAAATCGGCGAGAAAACTGGCAGACGACCAGCGAGAATATTCCGTACGGAAACGCCCACGGATCCGGTCCTGGCCAGGGAAACAGCCACTGGCGGGCGCGGAATAGGGACAGGGAGTATGAGATGGGCAATCCGCCCAAGAATTTCACCTCCTCCGTTACGGGACTGACTGCCGGCAAGTACTACCGCTTCCGGATCGTGGCGGTGTACTCCAATAACGACAACAAGGAGGGCAACACCTCTCTCAAGTTCTTCCTGCAGAATGGAACCGCCAAGTCGAATCTGCCAGTGCCGGAACTGCGCGTGGTGGAGATCCTCCGCGAGTCCGCCATGGTGCTTCATTGGTCCCTGATATCCTCGACTCAAAATGAGGAAATAGACGGGTACTATGTCTACTATAGGCCAGCGGACTCAGCAGCGGAATATTTGAAGGCCACGGTGGATGGCGGAAACAGCAGGAGCTTCAAAATAGACCTCCTTCGTCCAGGAACGCGCTATGAGTTCAAATTGCAATCGTTTAACTCCAACGCAGCCTCTGAATTTAGTGCTATTCGTCAAGCAAGTACCGGAAGTGAGTTCATCCTAGGTATGCTATGATGGCCATAAAAAATCTGTTTTAACTTGTGTGTCTATTTTTAGAAGCCCATGAGCAACCTGCTTCATCTTCGTCCACACCAGGGCCAGCCAATAAGACAGTGGATCAGCATCAGAACTCCGTATATCCAGTGATTGCAGGAGCTGCCGGCGGAGGCATACTACTCCTCATTGCGTCGTTGGTAGTCTGTCTTTGCCTAAAAAGGCGGGAAAACTCTCAACCGGAGGGTAAGTTGAGCTAAAAAGAGCGGGATCTGCAACTTCTGATATCAACGTACTTATCTAATTAATTCTCTGCACCCACAGATGAGAACAAACCGCAATTGGAGCACATCCAAGCGGACTTTGTTACCTCCGCCGTCCTGGGAGTTGGTGGTCACCACAAGAGTGGCGATGTGAGGCGCCTCAACGGAGTGATTCCGAGGATGAACATTACGCCCAATCCGTTGGCCCAGGAAACGGCGTCCGATAAGGTAAACCACGTACTTCTGGGTCTAAACTCGAGCCCAATTTTCACACAGCTTCATCCAAAACTTTTCGCTGGTTGGTTGGTCAAAATTCAAATTCAAATTCAAATTGTAAACACCCCTTCAAACGTGGTATCTCTGTCTCGCTTGCCCTCTCTCTCGCTGTCTCTGTCTCTTTCGCTTGGTTACTCTGCCAAAATCTCGTCGAGATTCGCCCGCCAATTGAGCGTCCAATGTTCCAGAACCGCAACGTGATGGAGCTGCGTTTCCTGCCGCCGCTGGCGAACGGAAATGGAAATGGCAACTGCATTGCCAGGGATCTAGCCCTGGAGCGTCCGAATGCGGAAGAGCAGCAGGATGAGGATGGAAACGAAGGCGATAGGGGGCTTCCGGTGGTTGCCTCGTCCTCGTGCGAAACGTTGGAGGCCTGCGACGCTGCAATTAAACTGAATCTCCACCAGAAACCTGACCAGGAGCAGCAGGATGCTCAAAATGCTGTGCTGGAGGCGCCCAGCAAGCCGCTACCGCCGCTGCCAAAGAAACCAGCAAACGGCGCTGGCCAAGTAAGCCTGCAATTGAGATCGAAAACAATAGCACACGGGTATAGCAATACTAATACCAATACCAGCACCAATACTGTATGCCAGTTAAAGTCATCACCTTGCTGTTAGTTTGTGCATATACCGCCCATGTGCTATTGCTTTTCCTCCTCCGCAACCAGGAGTAGCCAACCCCCAGCCGATATTGTTTTGTCAACATTGTCATTCATTCACTCATGAAGAAACGATTGCCTCAGTTCCCTATCCTGCTAATTGTTGTTTCATAATGCTCCACAGAACAACACTGGCCTGCATCAGAATGGCCTTCACCATGCACAGCCGTACCATCCGCCTGGCACTCCCACCTTAATGCACAAGCGACTGGACTACCACCAGCAACCGCCGCCGGTGCCGCCACACTCGGCCTACTACCAGCAGGCACCCACTCACCAACCCTCGCCGATGATGGAGCGCAGCGTCAGGGGTCACCAGCAGCCAGGAGGCTACCATCTCGAAGAGGGCACACCCACGCCAACCAGGATCCCATCACTGCGGCGACAGCGCCGCACCTCGGGCAACCAGCAGGTGCACAATAGCCACAGCAATCTCAATATTAGCCTGAGTCACCACCACAACAACAATAACAACCTGCCGCCGCACCACCAGCATCTGCATCACCATCCCGGCCATCCGGGTGGCCTGGTGGGCATACCCATTGTGCCCGGCAGTCCCAGAGTCCAGAGATCGCCGATGCCGAGCAGGGCGATGATCAAAAGGACGCGACTGGGCAGCCACACGGACAACATCTCATCGGGCAGTCTGAACAGTATTGAGGTGTGATGGCTCGCAGAGGAGCAGCAGAACGACCGGGCGGAGCAGCACAACGAGGAGAAATATACCTAAGCCGCAAGCGAAAGTAGTTCCCCAAAAAAGCAGACAGTTTCATGTAGACTTAAGGATCCGAAACTAGATGTGTATTATTGAGGTAAACGTAGAACAGGCCGGCAGAGCAGTTTGAAACCCTCGAATATTAGCTTTAAGGCACCAGGCACCCGGTACTGTTTAGTTTTCCAAAAACCAATCAATTTGGCCAATCATTAAGCTTAAAACTAGGATATTTGCCATTAAATGAGGTTTCTACAGTTCAATATACTCAATATAACTTTGCAAACGAGAAAAAATCTAGTGAAGTTGTTCTTTTGAGCTCATTTAAATGTATTTCGTTTAAGAAGAACGTTTAAATTGGTCTGAATTCATAATTAAACAAAAAATAAACACCTAAGCAGCTAAGTCGTTAAACGCTAATGCTGCTTGATTTTGTTTTAGGTAGAGATTGATTCTTAAAAATTTACAAACTGTAGTATAAGTAATTGGTAATGTAACACTTTTCTCGTTGCTGCCGGCCAGATAGTCAGTAGAATTACTAATGTTAAGTTTTTTTTTTACTATTTCGGTTTGCGCATCCCACTGGGGGCCAAATTTCAACTCGACTAAGCCCTGTAGCATAGCGTTATTTATTTATTGCATTGTAAGCGCCAGCAACTCGAATTGATTAGTTCAATTAGGAACTAATTTACGTTTAAGGCAAACCAACTATCTAGCATAAGGGCAATACATTTCAAGATGTGACTAATACACAAAACCCAAATGAAAAGCATCCTAAACTAGATTTAAGTTCGTAGGCGGCAGTTTTAAACGGATATGCGAGTCTTGAAATAAAAAAGTGAATCTTCAATTTAAACATGTCAACGTTTTTGTCTTTTCATAATTGGAATCTTAAATGCTGCTATTAAAAATAATGTGATTTTGCTAATTATACCCGTTACTCGTAGAATACTATTGTATACTAGATTATGTATACTAGATTACGAGTATGTAACAGGCAGAAGGAATCGTTTCCGACCATATATTCTTGATCAGGATAAATAGCCGACTCAATGTTTGGATATTTTCTCATTTTCTTATTAGTCTTGTAAATTTCTATCGATGTGCAAAAAATAGTTTTGTCACTCCATAACTCAACTTATTTTAAGCGGATTTTAAGTGGCATACCTCTAAATGTTTCTGGCACAATTCTCTAAAAATCTGCATTTAAATTTATAAATTCTATAGCATTCTATCTTGCTTTGATTGCTGTTTTAAAATTGATAGTCTGGCAGCCTTGTCATTAGCGAGTGCACCCACCATATCTAGCGAGGGCTACCTTACTTGACTATCGAACCCGGTGCCACCTCTAAGACAGCCAACAGCTGATTGTCACATTAGAATTGAATTGGAATTAGATTATGAATTATTTTATCGCTTTTATAACACAAAAGATCGACTAACTAGCTTCCGAACAAGCACCCCCAACTCGAGGCACATCTGGCAACACAAAGAGGCTGAGTGGAACTCCGAAACATGAATTTTCTGCGGCAATCCTTTGGCATTACGAAACAGTTGGCTTCCCAAGGTAAGTTCAACCAAACTTTTAAAGTTAAAAACGAGAGTTTTAGGTTTCAACTGATTTTGTGGGCATGAGCTGCTCCTACGCAGGCACTGCCGCTCAGGAGTGCGTGACTTGGCGCATTTTGCAACCCTTCCGCTGGAAAGCGAACATCAAATAAACCGGGAGCGCATTAGTGTTTGTTTTCCCCTAGACTTTCATGCATTTCCCTAGTTTTCCCAACTCTTTTTGATGAGCGCGTGGCGGGCTCACTTTTCGCCTGCGAATATTTTCATTGCCAGTTTCTCATGCACATGCTTATGCACATTCCGCAGCTCCCCCGCTTTAGATAGCAAAAATAATTGAAAACCTGTCAGCCCGAAAAAAGAAGGAAAAGCGCGGAAACAATGGCAATGTTCAACCGCAAAAAAAGGTCGCAGTTTGGAGGACAAAAGGTGCCGGATTTGTTTGTCCGGCAATCCTGCATATGGAAATTATTACCTGCCGCTTGTGCGCGTGTGTGTGTGTGGCATTTTGGCATATTTATAATTGAAAACGCTGGCTCAACTGCTGCGTCGCTTTGTTTCTGGCCAAAAGGCTTGACAGGATTCGGAGCGAATGCTCCCATGCTTGCGCGTCATTTGGCTGCAATTATTGTCGCCCAGCCGCCAACTCCATTCCACAATGTTCGATTTCCACAGAGATTAGCCAGCCGCATGACAAAGGAGCCAGCCAGCACAGAACCAGCGGGCATTGTCAATCACTGACCAACTGTCCGTGGAAGTGACCCTTTGTCCGCATTCTGAAGCCGGGTACAGTCGTGCTTTATTGATTGCAATCGGTTTCTTTCGCTCCCATCATTGCATCCTCACCCCTGTGTTCATATCTTAGAATGGCCATTCTCACTTTCCCATTATCAAGGGGCTTCAACTAGGAACCCACTAGTTTGACTGTGGCGTAGTGAAAAGTAGTTTAAAGTGAAACCCCTTCGGAGATGCCCCCAAAAGTTCATTTTGTTGCACATATCTAACTCTGCCCTTTCTTTTGCCAGCCATCCAGAGCAGCTATGAGACCGCCATCCGCGGAATGGCATCGCTGCAGCAGATGCACCGCAGCGGACCGCACGTAAAGACGCGCCCGCCGCGCCAGCCGCTGGATGGAAAGCCCTTCGCCAAGGGCGTCGTCCTGAAGACGCTGATCAAGAAGCCCAAGAAGCCGAACTCGGCCAACCGAAAGTGCGTGCTGGTGCGCCTCTCCACCGGCAAGGAGATGGTGGCCTACATACCCGGCATCGGGCACAACCTGCAGGAGCACAACATCGTACTGTGCCGCGTGGGGCGTCTGCAGGATGTGCCCGGCGTGAAGCTGAAGGCTGTGCGTGGCGTCTACGACTTGGCGCACGTCATCAAGAAGAGCCAATAGTTATTAACCAACCGCTTGCTTTACCACGTTGTTCAAATGCATAACTCTACAATCAACAGACGGATAAAGATGCCTCGTTCTTATTATTGTTTGTTTTTTACGGAAAATTATGCAGCTCAGTCGGATTAAGAGGTAAGTGAGTAAGTAGTGACAAGTGAACGGGCTCAGGATCTCCTTACGTCCAGCGACCCTCCGGTTGTCTGGCTGCATTCTCGTAATCTTAAGTCAATAGGCTGTCGCATCATCCTTACCTATGAATACCCAGGCAGAACTCTCAGGCTCTCAGGGGAAAATGGTCTTAAACGGCATTTTACGCTTTAGCTGGCAAATCCTTTTGCATGAATCCTGTTTGCTTTTTAACAGAATTGCAAATTTTCTGCCACATAATCGTTAGCTGAAATGGGCGTCACTCCCATACGCCCACTCTTCACAGTTAGGAAGTTCAATAGAAAATCGATGCAGTAGTTGGTTGCTTTTTGGGAATCCTGCTGGGTGACTGCCGAAAATTAGCCAAGGAAATTGAGTCTTTCGACAAGGGGAAGCATCTGTGATTCCTGGATTATTACAATCACTTCAGCCGGAATTTTAACACAGATTGATCAACTACGAGCTTGGTAGTTAGGGATTGGCTGCCAAAATTGCCCATTCGTTTAAGAGGATGGGTTTAAATAGGACGCAAATGAACTGTCTTTGACTGCAAACTATCTAATTTCGCTGTAATAAAACTGGGTCCTTTGTGACATACCTCAATCCGATTGTCGGTCCGAATCAAAGTCGTTTCGGGAGTGTCCTGGGCAGGATTCACCGTTAACCCATCCGCAAGTAGAGACAGTTAAGCAAATACATGCGAAGATCCTTTCAAGTAAGCCGACGTCGAAGCTGTCGCCGTGGGGACGTCTTTGTGTCCACATCCTCGGATGGATGACATTTCGGTGACCGCAGCAATGCCGTTTCCTCTGTCCTCCAGACATTGTGTCAACAGAGGGCCAGAAAACCAGGAAGACAGACAGTCAGAAAGACAGAGCCATGGGTGTACCGTTAGTCCCGGCCGAAAGTCCTTAGTCCTGCTGCCTGATTGAGCCATTATGACAGCAGGTCCTTTGTCGCAGGATCGTTCGTCTTCGCCGCTTCTTCTGCCTTTCTGCTGAGTCAAGTTGTCCAACATTTTTGGGACCCGCCTTTGTTTGCCGGCGTGCATAATTTTTATCAATAAAAACGCCATTGTCCAGCGTTAGGGAAGAAAAAACACATACGAGTCCTGCTTCCGTGTAATCGCCGAAGGATATTAGCTGCTTTTTCCTCAGCTCTTTCTCTTTGTCCATCGTGTTAACTGTAAAATTTGCCAAATGAAAAATGACTCCCGGACTCGGATTCGAACTCGGACTCGGGCATTACTGGCCAATCATCGAGGCGTTCACACGTCTGTGGCTTGGCCAGAATGAATTGGCAAAACATCTGGGAAAAAGGACATTCAAAAGTTTTTATCTCAAACGAATTGTGCGACTCGAATCGCAATTTTTCGGGGAATGATTGAGTGTGCGAAACTTAAGGAACACGGCCTACATCTTGATCTGGTCGTATATCTAGAATGATCACATAGACAACACATTTTAATTCGAACTGACCCTGAGTTATTGCCTTTGTTTCATTGTTCTATGCTTACCACAATATCAGGCGTAAATTATTGATTTTCATGTATTCGCAGCATGTATTTTTGCTCATCTGTGAGCTTCTGGTCTGCTCTGTGGCCTTAGTTGTGGCTTTAATTGCGCCTGCACCCCTTCTAATCATCTTTTGCGGCATCAGATGGGCTTGCACACCCACAACCAATCGATGCTGTCACTTGCCCGTTTAGCTTCACTCTTTGCCGCAGACACGAAATGGGAAAGCAGTGGAGAAAGGGTGGCAGAGTCACTGGAGTTTGACTGTGCGAATTGCCAAACATTTTATTTAATCATGGACACGTGTTGTGCGACCTATAGGGGGTTGGGTGGCCAGGGGTTGACGGTGGATGGTGGTGGGATCACCCCGAGAAGATGACTCCCAAATGTTCAACCCTTGTGCAACCCTTGCGTGATGCGAGTCTCGCAACTCCGCATCCAAAATGGCGCTGCCAAATGGCTGAATCCCGGCCAGAATCCGTGCTCGATTCGCAATAACTATGGTTTCGGCTAAGCCGCATTCCGCGGGGACCTGTGATGCTTAACTTCTGCTCTGATCTTCTTTCGATCGCACAAGAATGAGGTCCCTAATTGGCATCTTGTTGTCCTGTTGTCTTGGCCCTTGTTCCCTTTCTTTGGCCACAATCGAAATGTCAAGTGCGAGTCAAATAATGATGCATAACGCCCGTCCAGACCCGTTTCTAGATGTTGCAACGAGATTATCCTTCGGAAACATCATCATTTTCCTGTAATCGATTGCAGAAGGAGGCGAGCACCGAACACATCTTCCTCAAAAGGATCAGAACTGGCAAAAAACGGGAAAACAGAAAACGGAAAACCAGAAAAAAGATGAAGAAACAGCAACAAACGACGGGCGGGCCAAACCACACAAAGGACGATCGTCGATCTCGCTCCGCTGCGATCCAGGAATGTGTGTCCTTTGGCCACGTGCAGAGCACACTCCAATCACTCCAATCACAGGCGAGAAAAGGGACACACTTTGGCCGCCAGGTGAGCGGCCAAGTGTCAATCAGGACTCGCGATCCCCTCGTGATTGCTGCATTTCAACCCCAAGCGATCCCAAATCGCAAATCGCATCTGATTCGCCACGATCGCAGCCCACGACTCCTATTCGATCTGCGTTGACATTCGAAGAGATCCTGGCGATCAAAATGTGTTTACTCATGGCCCAAATCCCTTCCCTTCCCTTTGGGGCGTCACGATCGAATGGCAATCCTTTGCGGCCGACGCACGATCGGCACGTGGCGACTAGGATCGTTAGCTGATTTATTTATTATTCAGGCAAATAGTTTTCGCACTTTTTCTGTTGAATTTGGTCGGGAAGAAACAGAAACGACAGTTGATTTTGATCTCTGATTTATTCCTTCACACTCTTGCTGTACAATGCGCATCCGCAGAATCTGGACGTTTGTTTCTCCAAACTACGAAGGTTTCTGAAAATGTAATTAACTGCAGCTTTCAGCCACAAGTTTTGCGGTATTATTGCTTGTAGCTGGAGTACCAGTATTCCCAGGGGTTCGAAAGTCAACGCATCTAGTCCAGCAGACCACAGACCACAGACCAGTTTGGACTTCTGTGGGGATCAGGGGAATGAGATCACGGAGGCACTGCTAGCTTTAGTGGGCATGACCAGTGGCTTTCAAGGATCTACCTAGATCTAGTGCGACTAGGATTAGCTCGCGATGACCCAGTTTTCCACTCCCCGCTCAAGTGATTTGGCAATTGACCTAACAATTGGGCTAGGCGCGCTACGAAATCTGAAAATCTGGGGATCTAGGCATCTAATCTTATGGATTTACGTGAAACTTTTGCAATCGAACTGGCCCCTGGAACTCGACCATTATTTGGCAATATACGAGCGGAGTGGCCTAATCTGGTGCACTGTGGACTGATCCCGATGCCGATCCGCGATCCGCGGTCCGCGATCTCTGATCTCCTCGCTCGCTCGTAATCTCAGATTAAATTAAAATGTCGCAGGAAGGCAGGAGCGACGGCGGGCGACGGGCGGCGGAGGTGGGCCTGTGCAGGACTCACCTCTGTTTGCGCTAAATCCCCGAGATCCAGAGGCCTAATCCTTTCGCTCGAGCGACTACCTGGCCGACTGATCCCGTGGCCCAGATCCCAGAGCCCAGAGCCCAGATCCCGAAGCCATGCAACAGTCGCGCTACACACGAATTAACCTGATTAAAATTGTATTTTTCCCAAATTTATGGGATTAAGTTCCGTTCAAGTTCCTTTAACTCGTTTAAGCTACCGGATTTAGTTCAAGTGCTCGCCTGGATCTCCCCGGGAGACCTCAGGCCACTCAGGACACTCGGGACACTCAGGCTACACAGGCCTCTCAAGCCTCTCAAGCCTCCGTGAGCCGATTTTTATTGGGCTGGCTTAATTAGCACAATTGTTTACAAATTTACCTTTCGTCATGCTGCAAGGGACTGTTCCAGGATCCTCCTGCGATCGGTGTGTGAAATCCATGGCCCGCACACGCCCACGGCTCAGAGTTCCCAGCCAGAGTCTAACGTCGTGCAATTCGGAGCCGATCAGGGCAGATCCGCTATGTGTGAACCGAGCGCACTGCAATTCCCTTTAAAAATCGCTCTAATCCAGAGCGAGGAGCCTGCTCTATGGGCAACCAGTTCCACCAGCTCGTCGGCCGTTTACCAACCAATTATGGGCCTTATGCAACTCGTAACGAGTGAGCCAAACTTAGCCACACACTTTTATGCGACTGCAGCTAAGGGGTTCCGAGTTGCAGGAAGGGGCGAAATCAGTCCATAATTCACCAGGCTTACTTATGTATCTAGTGCCAGTGCCCAGGAGAACTAAGAATAGACTTCCCGAATGTTTTTTTTCAACCAAAAGAGTGATATGCCCAAGTGACCTCGGCGAACGTGAGGCTACTTTGAGTAACTGCGGCCTCACTTCCGTTGGGCAGCTGGAAAGGCTTAAGAGTCCTCGATTGGCGCCTGGGCAGGGATCCTGCGCCTCCTGTGCTGTGCGAGCGTTCCCTCGAAGAGGACGCAAACCCGGTGCTTGGGCAAATGAAAACAAATATTTATGCGTAAAAACAAACCCCAGACGAGGGCCCAGGGGCCTGTTGGCCGTGGAAAAACAAATCGTTTGTATGCCCTGTGGACCAGCCAGGCGAGAAACACGTGCCCACTTATTATATTTTCGTTGGATTCCAGTCCGGGGCTGTAAGGTCAACTGACTGGCCATTGACGCTGGAAAAACAAGGCGCGCAAGTCAAGCCATCGGAATGGATTTCGAGTCGCGTTTCCCCGACATAAAGTTGCAATATGTTGTGTGCGGGATTAGAGCCGGAGCAATTGCGATCCTCTGGCCGCAGTCCGAACTCCGATTCCATTCGGGCTACGCCCCCTCGA